CAGCTTTTCATCCCGGAGCCAAGGAATGGCTCAGCCCCTTGCAACTGCCAATGGTCCACCAGTATCTTCTCATTTGGGACTTGCCTTTTAAACCAGAAGCTTATGGATCAGTTTACAAAATATTCATGCCTTATGCATGAGCAGAAAGAAAGAAATGGGTAGAAGAGCATGCCAGGGTACAGCTAATGCTGTTAGCATATACATTTGTCACTAGGGAGGAGGACAAGTCAGGAACTGGCAGAGGCAGCTGCTTAGGCAGCTCCACTGTGATTTAGGCCACAATCTAAACACAACACTTTGCAAGTTTCCGCCCCGGGGGATATGGGAAAAGCTACACGGTCAGCATCAGGTTATTTTCACAATTGTTATGGGTGTCCATACCTAGCAGGTGGGTGCACTGACATGGCCTTGAATCTAAACCTGCAAGGTTAAGTCCAAGCTCCACATTCATACGAGCCTCTTCCTCACTCACCTAGACTCTACTGTTCCTTCATTGTCCAGCTCAAGGCCTACCATCAGCTGTCTGGGTCCAATGTCTACTTCCAAGGGCACTTGCTACCACTGATGACCTAAGCAGGGAAATGGAGTGATCAGATTTGGGTTTTTCAAAGAGTGCTCTGCAATGTGGAGAATGGCTTGAGAGGGAGTAACACCAGAGATAGAATGACTTGTTAGGAAAACACTGGAGTGGTCTGGAGGAGAGATAATAGTGGCCTTGCAGAGGTGGTAGCAGTGAGGTCAAAGAGGAGGTTGACTTGAGAGCCACAGCACTGCCATAATTTGGTAAATGATTGGGCATGGTTGTAGGAATGAGGGTGAAGAAGTAGTCAAGAATAAGTATCAGTTTCTGTTCGGGACAACTGAATTGATAAGACACCATTCTTAGACATGTTAAGTGTAAGGTGCATGAAAATCATTCAAGGGAGATGGATGGTGGGCAACTGACACACAAGTCCAGAGTCCAGAAGACATTTTTGGGATGGAGACATAGACTGGAGAGTCAGCAGTATATGGACAAGTCATTAAAGCTATAGGAGATGTTATGGGTTGAATATATCCTACCCCGCCTCAGTTCACATATTGAAGTCCTAATCCCCAGTAGAGCAGAATGTGACCTTATTTGGAGACAGGATCTTTATAGAGGTAACCAAATTAAAATGAGGTCCTTAGGGTGGGCCCTAATTCCATAGGCCTGGTGTCCTTATAAAAAGGGGAAATTTGGGGGGCGCCTGGGTGGCGCAGTCGGTTAAGTGTCCGACTTCAGCCAGGTCACGATCTCGCGGTCCGTGAGTTCGAGCCCCGCGTCAGGCTCTGGGCTGATGGCTCAGAGCCTGGAGCCTGTTTCCGATTCTGTGTCTCCCTCTCTCTCTGCCCCTCCCCCGTTCATGCTCTGTCTCTCTCTGTCCCAAAAATAAATAAAACGTTGAAAAAAAAAATTTAAAAAAAAAAAAAAAAGGGGAAATTTGGACACAGACATACAAACAGGGAAAACACTATGCAAGATGAAGCCAGATACTGAGGTGTTGTTTCTAGGAGTCAAAGAATGCCAAGGGTCATCAATATATCACTAGGGACTGGGCAAGAAGCATAGAATAGATTCCCTCTCACTGGCCCCAGAAGGAAGAAACCATCCTAACACTGTGATCTCAGATTTCTAGCTTCTAGAACAACGAGACAATAAATTTCTGTTATAAGCCACTAAATTTGTGGTACTTCGTTATGGCAGCACTAGTAAACTCATACAGGCAGGAATGAGATCATCCAGAGAGAGAAGGCTAACTGAGAAACACACATAACCAGGGCTGAGATGCAAGAAAACCAAGAATTAAAGGGGTATGAACCTATAAAAAATAAAGCAGCCAAAAAAGTGAGGGGAAGAAACAGGAGGATGCAACAATATGGAAGCCAGAGAAAGAGAGTGGGAGGAGAAGGCCATGGCACAAAGTTTGGCTTTAGTCATTGTTGACTGTGGAAAGAATACTGTTGGTGGAGTAGCAGGGGCAAAGGGATTGGCCTTTCCTGAGAAAGGCGTGGAAGCTGAGAAAGCACACGCAGGAAGTGTTGACAGCACACACGTGCAAAGAGAAAGGCATTATTTTCTACACAGATTGTGCAAATAAAGAAATGTGATGTTAAGGAGTAGGCAAACCATTCCAAATCTGTTATGTAGAGGATGGGGATGGACACTTTATGCACATGGATGGATGGAGGGACAAGATCAAGTCTCTCTGCCTTAGTTCACAGTACACTGGGGCAAAGAGACCAGAAAACAGGTGAATTATAACCCAACATGCAAAGCCCCGGTATAGTGACAAATCCTGGGCTTGATGGAAATGAGAGTGGCAGGAAGGATGGAGGGAAGATGACAGAGCCAGGTAATTCAGGGTAGTCTTGTTACAAGAAAGATAACCCCTTATTCACGGTGCAAAAGATTCACAAAAATCATGCACGGTGCTGTAATCTAATAGGAGAAGACGTGAAATTTTCTTTAAGCTTCCTGAAACCTTCCTACCCAGAATTCAGGGGAACTGATTTGGCATGTTAATTGCCTCCCTGCCCCCCACGGTCATTTCAAATGTTCAATCAAAACCCTTACTATCAAAGCCATTTCTTGGCCGGAGATGAGGAATCAATATTAAAGTGTTTGCTTTGTTTCTCTGGTAAGCAAATGAGAGTAAATGATCCTCTGGGAGTACTGTATTCACCCATGGGAGGCAAATCAGAGCAGCTAGGAAAGTACTGGAATGCGTACTGCTCTGGTACTGATGGCTGAGCATAATAGATTTAAAAATTCTCTTGCAGAGGCAGCTCTTGCAGTCTGTTAGACACGCTCTCCTCTTGCAATCCTAAATTTATCTAATGGAGTGGAAGATACTTCCATGGTCTGGAAGATGACTTAAATTTACCGCATAGCCCTAGAATACATTAAAGGGTCCTGTTGGCATCACCCTCTAAACATTCCTTAAATCTAGATCCTCTTGCCATCCTGACCCCTAAAATTCCCCACATTATCCCTCCTTTGGCTATTTCTTGCATAACTGACTGCCACATGCTCCCAATCCCCAGGGTTGCACAGAGCAGCTGTCATGTGAGGATGGAAGTTATCTGCTATCAGGGAGAAAACTCCAGGTAAACCTTGACCCCCACACCTATAGCCCAGAGACTAATTTTCCCGGCCCCTTGTTTTGGCTAGAGGAGATCTGGCAACTCTCATTCATTCATTCATTCATTCACTCTTACCGAGGGGTGTCCTGTGTGCCAGACGTTAAGCTAGGCTATATGGGCTTCAAAGAGGATGAAGACCAAGTCTCTCTGCTGTGGTTCAGAATATACTGGGGCAAAGAGGCTGGGAAACAGATGAATTATAACCTAACAAGGAAAACACTGATATGCTGACAAATCTTGGGCTTAATTAACATCAGGATCTTGAGGAACCTGAGCCTGGAGGGTCTGAGAAACTGCAAGATTCCAGAAGTAGGAACAATACTTAACAGGGCAAACGCTTCAGATGAAGAAGACAGGACTGGTCACACAGAGTGGAATCATTAACATAAAAGAGACAGAGGAAGGCAGGATGAGAAATTAATCATCTAAAGCTATGAACACAGAGCAGATGCCCAGAGGATCCAGGATGAACACTCCGGGGAAGAGTCCTGGGGACTCTATCAGGTGGTGGAGAGACTGAGGCCAGCAAACAAAATGAAGGAGGGTCAGAGGCAGAAGCAGAGTCACAGAGGTAAGAATTCAAGAGAAGAGAGTTTATAAAAGGAGATGCCATTAACCATTTCCAATACTACCAAGAGGTCAGGGAGACTGAAGGTGGAAGAAATGCCCACTAACTATGGCTATCAGGGATGTCACAAGTGACTTATGAAGCAGTTTTTGTAGAGAGAGAGGAGATGAAGGAAGTGGAAGGAAGAGGAAAAAGAAGGCAGAGGTTTGAGAAAATTGCAAGGATTCAGCATCAGGGCCGAGTGAAGGGTTATTCAAGGTTCGAGAAAGTTCTAGCTATGATGAAGTAGCTTGTACAGGACTAATCCTCCCTTCCACTGCAAATAAAATACAACTTGACAAACCGTATGAGGCAACTGTTTCTAGGCACTGGCCAACAGGTGGCATGAGATTGCAATCTCTAAGAAAGGTCCTAAGGTCAGCCCCTTGATCTCCAGCTTTTCCTTGGGGACAGTTTCCTCCCCTTGGAGCACAAAGGGGAGTCTGAGCAGAGCCCTGAGGCACCACTGAGAGAAGGCAGAGATCAAAGTTTGGGGGCCCCCTGCAATTCATGGGGCAGTTGGAAAGAATGGGCCTGTGACCCCTGAGACTGTCACAAGCAAGTACAAGCTTGCCTTTTACTCCAGCCAAGCCGTTGACCACTTCTCCCCATCCAACCCCTGGGCCTGCATTCTGTGAACTCATATTTGAGCTTCAAGACTCCATTGAAACTCTGTGCACCCTCAATGGCATTCCGTGGCCATTTGCTTTCTGTGCCTGTTCCACTTACCTAATTACGCCATACTGTATGGCAATTTCTGGTCTACTTATTTTGCCCTCTGCCTGTTAGCTTTTTACTAGTATGGGCTCTATCTAGGCTATTTCTGTGTCCCTGGGCCTGGCACTCAGCAGCTTTTCATGAGCATTTGTGGAGTTGCCTGGCCCTTACGGAGAAACTTAGGGGCACCTAATCATGCCTGTGTTCAGTAACTTTAATGTGTGTATGTCTTATCACCTGAAACATGCTTAACAAATATACGTTTCACGACTAAATGAATAAACTGGCAAGATTTAGAAAGGCCCTAATTGAGGATAAGAATTAACTTTTACTTGTTTTGAGTCTCTTATTCCTCTACCAAAGGATGTTAGGCACACGCCAACTATCCAATAACTACTTGTGAAACTGGTTTTTAGCAGGGAAGTCAATAAACTCCAGATACCTCAAGACTCCCTCCCCCCCACCTAGATGCAGCTTCTCGGCTCCTTTTTGTCTCTCTGGTCCAGCCTACTCATGTTGGCTCCAGCCTCCACCATGTCCATCAGAGTGACCCAGAAGTCCCACATGGGATCCACCTCTGGCCCCCCGGGGCCTTCAGCAGCTTCTCATACAAGTGTGTGTTGTGCCAAATCTGCTTCTAGGCTTTCTCCTGAGTGGGCAGCAGCTTCTGGGGTGGCCTGGACACCAGCATGAGTATGGTCTGGACATATGGCGGGTCTGGGGGCTTGGGGGGGGGCGGGCATCACAGCTGTCTCCTGCAGCAGAAAACAGCTCAAAGCAACAAGAACAATGTGCTCAGGAGCTACATCAACAAGCTTTGCTGGCAGCCGGACACCGTGGTCCAGGAGAAGCTGAAGCTGGAGGCGGTGCTTGGCAATACGCAGGGGCTGATGGAGGACTTCAGAAAAAATACGAGGAAGAGATCAAAGAGCGTGCAGAGATGGGGAATGCATTTGTCGTCAAGAAGGCTGTGGATGAAGCTTGCACGAACGAGACAGAGCTGGAGTCGGCCCGGAGGGGCTGGCCCACCAGATGGCCTTCCCCAGGTTGCAGTGTGAAGAGGAGAGCTGAGAGCTATGGCCACAGCTCTCCAACATCTCCACGGTCCTCCCCGGGGACAGCTGCTGCTCCCTGGACCAGACGGCATCATCACCAGGTGAAGGCTCAGTACCAGGAGATTGCTCAGATTGTCACGGGCCGAGATTGAAGGCTGTACCAGATCAAGTAGTAGGAACGCAGACATTGTCCGGGAAGCACGAAGATGGAGATTTCCTAGATGAGCCAGAACATCAGCCGACCCCTGGCTAAGATCCAGGGCCTCAAAGGCCAGAGGGCTTTGGTGGAGGCTGCCCTTGCTGATTGCTGGGAAGCGTCAGGAAGCGGGTGATTCAGGAAGCTGTTGTGACGGGCTGCGAGAATACCGGGAACACGTGAATGTCAGGCTGGTCCTGGACAGCGAGATCGCCACCTACCGAAGCTGCTGGAGTCTGGGACACAGAACATGTATATCCCTAATGGGACCACCAAGGGTACTCAGGTGCCCTGAGCTCCGCACACAGGGTCTCACCGGCCCTGGCATCCACTACGGTCTGGGCTCCTTCCAGTCCAGCTTAGGCTCTGGTGGGGGCTTGAACTCCTTCAGGCACGTCAACTCCACCAAGGCCGTGGTTGTGAAGAAGATTGAGACTCGCAACAGAAACTGGCACCCGAGTCCTGTGATGTCCTGTCCAAGTGAACAGCCACTGAGGTCCTTCCCAGTCTCCACCCTCCTGTGGCTGCCATAGAGCCTTTGGGGGAAGGAGCTGTGCAGGGGAGAGTGGGGAACAGAAGACCCACCTGAGGGTCAGCCCTGTCCCCAGCCTACCTTGGTGGGGAGTCTACTGCCCCGCCTACTCCATCTTGGCCATGCCCCCAACTAAAACGCCAATTCACGTGTCTTTTCCAAAATAAGCTTCAGCTGGTTTTGCTTCTAACCCCCAGAAGGGTTTCCTTATATTTGCATCTTTGAAATGTGAGCACGACATAGAAACTGCACTGGCAATTGCCTTTAGATCTCTCATGAATGCCAGGTGCAGTTGACTCTAAGGAGCTATCGTATTTAAGATCTGGACAGCAAGGACAGGATTGCTTTTGTGTCTCTGTTTCTATCTTCTGGATGAAAACCATTAACAGACATGCTGAGCTGGTCAGATCAGCAGGTGCATAGAACAGAATCAGCTCTCCAGGATTTCTGGCCAATCTTAACAGAGTAATTATATAAAATATTATGTATCTGGTTCCATCAGGGGTTTAGATCAAAAGTGAAATATGTGAGGCTTGATACCTACAAAGTCTTATTGAGGGACAAAAGGAGAGGCTGTCATACACTCCCCCGAGAAGATGGCTGTTTATGACTCTCCCTGCATCCCCATCTCTCCTCACCAATAGAGTTACAAGCTCTAAGTCTCTCTGTCCTCCAGAGTCTCAGTTGTTCCAATGACACTTTCTGATAACCCAGTAACTTGGAATAGCATTCACTAAGAGGCATTTCTATATAGCAACACTCAGAGGAAACTTGTTCCCATCTGAGATTTAACACAAATTCTTTTTCTGGAAGCTGCTGACAGCATAGCTTCCAAGGATTTTCTAAGGTCCAGCATGGCTCCCAGCATAGTCTCCTTAGAGTGTAATTTCTGCACTACAGCACAGATTCGGAAGTCAGATGACCCAGGATGGAATATCAGCTCTGCTTCTCACCACGTTGTGCTCTTTCCTCTCTAAGCTTCAGTTTCTTCACTGACAAGAAGGAGAGTGATATCTCCCTAGAAGGGATGTTGTAAGAATTAGCTGAGATAATGTACCTTGTTGTTGTCATTTTATTTGCAGAACATCATAGCACCTGGAATGGTGACTTTCACCCAGAAGGGCTCTCAAAAAATATGTACTAGGTCGCCTGGGTGGCTCAGTCAGTTGAGCGTCTGACTTAGGCTCAGGTCATGATCTCAAGGTTCGTGGGCTCGAGCCCCACGTTGGGCTCTGTGCTGACAGCTCGGAGCCTGGAGTGTGCTTTGGATTCTGTGTCTCCCTCTCTCTCTGCCCTTCCCCTGCTTGTGCTCTGTCTCTGTATGTCTCTCTATCAAAAATAAATAAACATTAGAAAAATGTTTTTTTAATGTACTGATTGAATTTTACTTAAGCTCAAAGCATATATCATAGGCAAAATTCGACTTATAAACTGGAGTTTTTCCCAACTCTAAATGCATTTCCCCGCATAAACAAAGTTATAAATTGTGGTTTGACCGAATATTGGTACTAAAATCCCATTTAATGCATAATGTTTTTAAAATACTGTACATTTGCAGTGAGGAAGCACAGTCATTAAGCAGAACAAGACAACATTGACTAAAAGCAGTTTTATATTTATCTAGAACATTTGCAGTTGAGGAAACATAGATTTAATTTAAGGAAGAGGAAGAAGTTGTAAATAATGATTGGAGGGGATCCTGAGGGAAATTTCTGTGTGTTTCGCAAAAGCTCTCAGTGTCGATGCCCTGAATCTTTATTCTGTTTAATTTCCCATCAAACCTTAGGACTTCCTTCTTCAATACAGCTATCAAGTTCCTTATCAACATGACAAACATTTCTTTTAGTTCAGAAATGGTGGGGTTTCAAGAATCCAGTTGTTATTTCCCAAGAAATAGGCAACTAGAGGGAAAAACAGGATGCATGAGAGAGAAACAGGGATTTTTATAATAACTCTAAGAAAAGGTGAAAAAGAATTGGGAAGTAAATGGAGTTATAAATAGGGGTGTGTGTGTGTGTGTGGGAGAGAGAGAGAGAGAGAGAGAGAGGGACACGCAATTCTACCTCAGGCAATCATTTTAATAAAGAGGTGAGGAAACAGCAGAAAAAAATGGCAAATGAGCTCTTTCTGAGGGTGAAAATGGGGGTGGTGGCCAATTTCCAAACAGAAAGTTCCCCATAATGGCTTCTCTGTGGTGTATCAGCCATTTGAGAACTTGCTTTCTGTTCTAAATAAATGCATAAGAAAGTTTTGTAAGGCAACATGAAGACCTTGGGAAGTCATTCAACCTTCCTAGATTGGGGTGTTCTCATTTATACAATGAGAAAGTGGGACTAGACACTCTATGGGAAATTTTGGTGTAAAAATTTTAAATTTTATGAAGACCTTGTGACTTAATACCGACTAGCACTGTTTCTAGCTAAGTACAAGTTAAAATCATAGACTTTGCTTATGCAACCCAATATGGTCCTTCCCTCTCACCTCCTTAAAAAGTAATCTTCCCCAAGCATCACCATGACAACTGAGAAATAATCCTGTGTTTCTTCTAAGGAAGGGATTTTCAGATTTATACCTAGACACAGGGCAGGATATTTTTCAGGAAATATCAATGCATTTGGAACTTTCCCTAGAGTAAAAGATCTAAGTGAGAATCCCTGAAAGAATAAGAAACAGAAACTGACTTTCTTCTAAAATATTAAAGTAGCTCATACATTGCAGTGTTAAATGCTGCTTTAAAGAGTGAACTTTCCAGAAAAAATTGAATAAGATAGATGACAAATTTATTAAACTCATGTTTTATCAAAGGGCATGGTTTTAAAATTGCCTGTACACATTGTGAAACTGATCATTTTTATAGAACAATATTACGAGGCTCTTGAAATCTCAGTTATGCATACCAAAGGGATAGGGTTGAACCTGGATCTTTGCCTGAAAAGAACATTGTACCCGAAATTAGGATTCCCAGGGCTTAGAGGCCAGTTTAGCTCCTGACTAATCATCTCTTCCTGGATGTTTCTTTCGTCATTCTCTCTCTTGATTTTCTATGTATGAAACGGAAATAACTATTATTCCTTTATGTCAAACTCATTGATTGCTATTCTCTTATATTTTTATTGTGGGATACCAACGAATTTATCATTATAACCATTTATAAGGGTAATGTTTAGTGGCATTAAGTATATTGATATTGTTGTTCAATCATCACTACCATCCATTTCCAATTTTTTTCATCTTCCCAAACTGTAACTCTGTACCTATTCTCTTATGTTAAGAGTATTTCTCTTAATCCACTCAGAGCATCAACCCAGAGGGTTCTCATACCATGTACCCTCTTATTATGGTGGTGAGAAAATAATTTTACAGAATTATGAAGGGGAAATTAAAAACTGCAGATATGCTGGTTTGATGTCAAATATGCTACAAAGTTTTACACATCAAGTTCTGATGATTAAAAGTGTAGTTGGGTTACACTCAAAAGTTTGAACTCAAACGTTCCATCACTGAATGTACATACTCCCCCTGTGAAAAGCACACCAAGAAGAATCTTGCCCCTCTTAGTGAAAACTGCCAAGTCCTCTCAGAGAAGACTAACAGAGTTAAGCATTCTGGGAAGATCAACCTTCTGAAGAAGTGGATGAATCAGGTGGGATGGTTGCGTCCGTGCAGAAGAGATGCCCTGAGCATCACTGGTTCCGGGGACTTCCCAGGCTCCAGTGCTCTCCTGTGTACTCTGCCATTTGCTGTTCATTTTGAATCCAGTTCCCTTGACTTGCTGCTTTGGAC